GTTCTTGTGGTAGACAATCAGACTGCCTTTTTTTTTTTTTCCTGCTGGTCTTTCTTTCAAGAAGTATCTTTTGTTCCTCCAGGCTGGTCTACTTGTCTTTTCAAGTGGAAATTTCCCACCTCAGAAGATTCTGGATGGGGATCAGGATTCCACCTATGGTCTTAATACACTGCAAAGTGGGCAAATTCTAACATCTCTTTTAGGTATTCCAATCAGTTATAGGCTGAAGACAGATTTACAAGCTTTCTATAATTGTGTTTCTGGCTATTCTTTCTCTCCTCCTCAAGTGTCTATTTTAAAATAGTTGGCAAGGAAAACCAAGATTTCTAAAACAGTCAAGCATCTTAACATTATTTTCCCTCCTTTACCCATTCAGAATATGCCTTAATCCCTGTATCAGAGCCCTGTTGTTCCAAGGTTGAGCATACATCTCTATTTACTTCTGTCTCATTTAGCACATGCAAATCTGCCTAAATGTTCTCCTCTCTACCTTGTTCTTCCATTCCCCTCCCCCTTCTTGTGTATTGCCCCTACCAACAACCGAATTATCATGTGTCTATGTGGATAGCCTTTTTAAATACCAAACCAGGTACTGTCAATTCCAATTCGTGGTATCTGCTCCATAGAGTTATCATGGTTATGCCTTCTTGGAAGCCAATTGCCAAACCTTTCTTCCAAGGGGCCTCTGAGTGGGTTTGAACAATCAAGCTTTTGATTAGTAGTCACATGCTTAGCTTATTGCCCCATGCAGGCAGACAGCTAGGCATCCTTTATGGTGGACCATCTGTGCATGGTCAACTACCTATTCTTCAATGTTTTATTTTTTTATTCATTTATGTATGTGTGTGTGTGTGTTCAGTGATCTGGCTGAAATCCTATTGAATCTAAAAGCTCAGGAGGTTTAAACCCCTCCAAGAGTTATATCTAAGGAGCTCTGGTAGTGTTGTGATTACGAATTGGGCTGCTAACCTCAGGGTAGGCAGTTCTAAACTACCAGCTGTTCTGCAGGACAAAGATGAGGCTTTCTGCTCCCGTAAATATTTACAGCCTCGGAAACCCTGTGCAGGGTCACTCTGAGTAGGACTCCACGGTACTTATCAACAAGGGTCATCATATCTGATGACAACAATTCGAAGAGCTTTAAAACAGTAAGAGGCACAGACAGCACATGAACTGAATATCTAGTGGATAAGTCTGTGGGAACACACGTTCTTCCAATTGCAATATAGATGAAATGTCCAATGGTTCCATTCCATAGTCAGTAAGAGATGGCCTCTTTTGTTATCCTCTCAACTAAAGCTTCCTGGAGTAAGTCGTGTTTAAGTTAGAATGGGAGGATGGGTAGGGATTAGCAAGGCAGTGTGTGTGTGTTGGAAGAAACTGGTATGTTAGAGAAAAGGTCTAACCCATGATAGGTCATGAGGGTGGTCAGAATACATCCTAAAAATTATCTACCAAAGCCTCATTATCACTAATTGCCATGCCCCAAGCTGGTCTTGCTAACTAAGAGGGCATGGCTAGACCTAAATCCTGAACACCAAGGTCTTTTTCTCAAGGCATCCGCCATTGTTGGCTCCCACCAAGCCAGCTTCTCAAAACAATTATTTTAGAGACACGGTTTAAAAGCAGGCACATCCTAGAATCAAAATTACATCAGGGATACCTGCAATAAAGAAGATACCCAATAGGCCAAAGGAAGCATACTTTATTCAATTTACAATGCAGAAAGTATTTGTAGTTCCTTAGACATTTGCATTGCTATAAAAATTATACTTTATGATATAATTATTAATGGTTTGAAGAGAAATAAACAGTATAAACGAAATATAGCCCATACTATGAAAATGTAAACCATATAAATCAAAATCATAAAACAATTACTCAATACTCAGAGGCCTACTTAATATATACATATGAAATTTCTTACATACATATACAATGAAAGCTCACAAAACTATCATTCTGAAGCCGAACGCTGTACAAATAGGAAAATAAATCTTTATCTTTAACCTCAATTTTATCTTCAGCAGGAGGGTTGTGCAACATGGGTTTATGCAAATCACATTTAGTATTAAACAATCAAGTGTCACATATGTCATAGAAAGCAGAAAGTGGCACAAATAAATTAAGAAAATACATGAGGCTCAAAGTTAAGAGTGAAAAATGTTTCTTTAACCAACATTCTTCTCCAGGACAAAGTTAGGATATCAAACAGGAATGTAGCATAATCGTGATTTTAAAAGTTCTCAAAAGAGAAATAGACTTAAGGTGAATTACTTGCATAGGAATATGCAAATACATCAAATTAAATCTAAGTAAAAGGCATTCAATACTTTTGTTATAGTCAAAAATACATTTTAACTTTGAGAAGATCATAAAATCAAAATGTTAGTAACGGTTTCCCAGCAAAACAGCTGAAAGATCTTAAAGCACTTGTTCTTTAAACAAAAGCTAACCAGAGCTATCAATTCCTAATCTGGATTATGTTACCGTTTTGTCAAAATATTTACCCAAATTCAAGTACTTGAAGATGGTTACTTTGTCCACCAAAAGCACCTATGTAATCTCCAATAAATTTGGGTGTACGGGGCCCATCCAGAGGCAAAGGCCAAGATAATACTTCTGTATCAAACGTATATTCTCATTTACAGATTGTAAAACAACCTATAAAATACAGATAATTTGTAAAATAAAGAGGCACATTGGGGAAAATAAATAGGGGTAAAACGATAACATGTGCACTAAAATGGTGCATCCCATATGCCAACATATATTATATACCAGCTCCATTTTAACCTGGGCTCAAAAGATACTACATTAAGGCAAACAGCAGTGGCAAAATGGTCTCACCATGCCACACAAACAACCACCCCTATGTCCCCTGTTGATTTTAACAATTTACCACATCAATTCTGGTAAAAAAAAAAGTCATTTTTTCTTCCTAAGACAAAAAAACAAACCCAAAATGCTCTTCTTCTATGAACTAGATATTCATTGTGGAACTGCTAAGGAGAGACCCAAATTGCCAGTAAAGTAAAAATTGTAGATGCCCACAATAAAGAGAGAAGGCATGTTTTCAAATGCTAAATGATGTGGTAGCTATTCATAATGTTTTTGGGCAATGCCACTAGCCAATTTGTATAATAAAAAAAATGAAGCTTGGAGAATTTAAGATTTGGTCATAAAAATCATAAACGAGTATCTTGGTAGCGCAAGTAGTGAAGTGTTTGACTAGTAGGTTAAGAGTTCAAACCTAGCATTCTGAAAGACAGGCTTGGAGATGTATTTCTGAAAAAGCAGTCATTGAAAACCCAGTGGAGCACAGTTCTACTGGGGAACACATGGGGCCACCATGAATCAGAAGGAACTGAACAACAACAACGACAACAATAAAATAAATAACAGATATTATTTAAGTTTCTTCAGCAAGCTACTAGAGGACTGGACCTATATGAACAAAGATTAAGTGAAATCTCCTGCAGCGCATAATTTGATTGGTTCAAGACAAGGAAACCAGGTGTCTCTGCCCCACTGTAAGGACAGGTATTGATTGGCTCCTGTGGCTGACAGAGACATTCCAGTGGGGAGGTCTGGGAGGACTTGCTGTTTCTAGAATGAGAGCAAAACCAACCAGGTCCTTAGTGATGATGGGCTCATTCTAAACAATGGACTCGCTTTCCTTTCTTAATGGCAACTCCTAAACAGATTATTTTCAAAATATCAAGCACAACACTTCTTTCATTATTCATTATATGTAGAAGTTAATGCTGGTAATTTGAAAGTTAGGGGATTTGCATCACATTGGAGACTATGCTTTTAAACCTTGGGTAGATTTAAAAGAAGCATGCATGTTTTGACTAAAATATGAAAGTGGCTTAAGTGCTAGAGTATTTTTTTTTTTTATGAGATAAAACGTACACACCATAAAATCTACCTTTTCAGCGTGTACAATTCAATAGTTTCTAGTATATTCACAAAGATGTACAGCTATTCCTACTAATTCCAGAACATTTTCATTAACCCCAAAAGGTATCCTATACTTATTAGCAGTCAGTCTCCATTCCCTTACCCCCTCAGCTATGACTGGCTACCATCGGGAAATATATCTTTTTAAGCTAAGAGTGACAATCATCAGTATTATGCAGCTTTGCATGTTTTCATCAAATATTTACGTTAAACAATGGCTTTTCACACTCTGATATTATAAAATACCCTTCTATATGTACAACTGTTTTTTGTCTCAAAATGCTTTATACATATATAAAAAAATAGATTACTCAATTTCCACTGGGGCCTCAAAAAATTACCATTTTTTAACAAAATTTGGCTCTTATTTCAGAAGTGAGACAAATCAATACACCAATATTTTAAAAATCATAACTAACCAGAGTCCTTACTAACTGTAGACCACCAAGCTCTCCTTCTTGCTGTCTTAATAAGCCCTATGAAATCCGAGAAAGACTGAGGACAGCAGATTTTCAAGGCTAAGCCTTACATTTTACAGAGGAAGGCACAGATGTCAGGTGGGTTGGGGACCTGGTCAACATCACAAAACCAGTTAACAGTCAAATTAGTATAAGACTCCTTTTACTAGACAGAAACCCTATACAGGGTCGGTGTAGTCAGAACCGACTCGATAGCACTAAACAGCAAACAAAGAATCAAACATTTTCAGTAAATGCTGTCACAGGTTACCTAACAAAGTCAGCTACACATAAATCTACTTGTGTCCGCAAGTTTCTTTTATCTGAGCATGTATTTTTTTTTTTTCTTTTTCTTTTTACCATCTTAAAAATACTCAGACTTTCATTTTTTAGACTAAGGACAAGACAACTGTATTTAACCAGAAGGCTCAGTGTCTCATTGACACAGAATCAAAGTTTGGGATTTCTCCATATGAGAGCGGTCTAAAGATACACCACTGTCTGCAAAATCCAAATGAGGCACATCAATGCAGTATGCTGAACATGAAGGCTTCAGAGGGCAAGGGTGTTTGGGGTTTAACCATTACAACAATTCTTCATCTGGGCTGACTTCTTGGAATTAGTCCCACCCAAGTTGGTAATGGATTTGTTGTCATCTTCATCAGTTCTTTTTTTCACTTCCCTGAAAAGAGAGAGGATTAGTGATATAACAAAACAAAACTGCCAAAGTCGCTGTAGAAATAAAAATCATAATGCTGAGTGCTTGCCGGCTGTGATCCAGACACTGGTTTAAAGGCTTTCCAGGTGTGAACTTTCTTAATCCTCAAGAGTGTTGCACCCCTTTGAATACATGATTAAATGGAGGCACAAAAAAGTTAAGTAATTTCCTTTAAGTCACCCAGCTAGAGAAGTGGCAGAGTTCGGGTTCAAACCATGAAGGCTAGTTCCAGGCCTATATTCTGAACAGCAGGACACACACACACACACACACACACACACGTACACATATCTCTTGTATGTGCACATACATTCACCCATAGACACATGAATACACACACATACATGAATACACACTGCACATACACATAAACCATGCTCACACACACATGCTACCCTCTCTCTCCTGTGGTTTCTGGATGCTTTGTAATTGGTCATAAGCACAGCTCAGCCTGGGTCTAAAAGTCCATCTCCACTAATAGGTCCACACGTGCTTATTAATCTATTTCTTTTTTGGCTCCTTCAAAGGCTTGCTTTCTTACTCAGGCTTTTCTTTATGATCTTGTTTCAAGTGACCGCTACCAACACAGCCTCCCCTCTTTCCTGCACTATCTTTCTCCGAAGCATGAATCACTTATTTGTTCTGTTTACTGTCTACCTCCCATGTACTTGGTTGCCAGGATGTCAGTAACTTAGGGCCATTTGATTCATTGCTTTATCCCTAGTATCTAGGCAGGGGCATAGCCAATGCTCAGTGAATATATGCTGGAGGAAAAGTCTGTGGATGAATATTCATATTCTGTTATGATACACCTGATTCATTTATTCAATGCTAACCTCATGCTTTGCATTTTGTTAGGCACTGTGGACACACTGCAGAATAAAATGAATGCAGCCCTAACCTTTGTGGAGCTCACAATCCAGTGGGGAGCCAGGCAATGAAAAGACGAACACATAAACAAATACATTACTTTGAAGAAGGTCAACAGGGGCCGGTGATGAAGAACAATGAATCTGTGTGTTTGTGGGGGGGAGGGGGGCAGGACACACCTTGCAGTTCCAAGGAAAAGCAAGCACACACTCAAGCTATCCCCAGGGCCCTGCTTACTGGATAGCTGCCCTTGCCCCACCCACTCACCCCTCACCCAACAACAATTATTCCTGCATCTGGGAGCTGCCTCCCAGCTGCCTCCTTCACTTAGATGCCTGTCCTCATCCTCTGTCCTCTCAGGTCAGGAAGCTTCTTTTTGACTCAGACGAGGGCTCTGCACATCCTCTGGCAGCCCCAGCTCTGCAGGCTTTTAACAGGCGACCATGAGACAATGACCAAGAAACATCCAGCTCAATGAGAGACCATGAGGGAGTGGCTGAATCCTAATACCAACTGGTGGCAGGAAGTACCATTTCTCCCTATAAGAATGTGCTATCTTGGTGTTCTGGTAGCGTAGTGGTTAGGAATCAGGCTGCAAACCTCAAGATCTGCAGTTCGAAACTACCAGCTGTTCTGTGGGAAAAAGATGAGGCTTTCTGCTCCAGTAAAGATTTACAGCCTCGGAAACCCTGTGCAGGGTCACTATGAGTCAGAACCGACTCCACGGCACGTAACAACATCTTGGTGTAGTGCTTAGGAGTTGGGCTGCTAATTTCACGGTCAGCTGTTGGAAACTGCCAGCTGTTCTATGGGAGAAAGATGGGGCTTTCTGCTCCCAGAAAGATTTACAGCTTTGGAAACCCTATGGAGGATCGCTGTGAGTCAGAACTGACTCAACAGCACTTAACAACAACAACAACCGCCTTAAAACAATGGAACCTGGCTTCATCTCCAACTATTGTTTACTGAGATTAACAAAAATGATAACTTTATAGTCATTCGTTAATTTCCATGATAATTCAGTCAACAATGGATAGTTAAAATCCAAAGTAAGATTTTCCTTTTGCTTCTTATTGGATTTCTTTTATAATTAACCATTAGAGGAGTCCTGATATGGTGCTGTAGGGCAAACAGTGGACTGCTAACTACAAGGTTGCAAATTCAAACCCACCAGTTGCTCCTCAGAAACCATATACAGAGTGGCTATGAGTCAAAAATGTCTTGAGAGCTGGAATCCTGGAGTGACTCTGTAGACTACACATTGGAGTGCTAACCACAGGGCCTAGGGTTCAAACCCACCGCCACTCCTCAGAAACCTTATACAAGATTTCTATGAGCCAGAACCAACTCCATGGACTTCATAACAACATCTGTGATCTAATGAGCATTATTACCCTCATTATCACAGATGAGGAGACACCGACTCTGGAAAGAATCATTCCAGATAAATGAATATTCAACTTTAGCTCTAAGATATATGTAAGCTACAGCCACACTGTAGACTACCTTCTAGATGCACAGTATCCAACACAAAGCAAACATTCATTAAACAGTAGCTGAATTTCAAAGAACAACCTAGAGGAGGCCTGGTCCAGTCTCACTGTGCAGTCTGGGTACAGAGCAATCAAGGGTCCCAGCATGTGGCACAGGCATTGGCTTGCACAGAGGGCAAGGAGAGAGCAAGGGTGTGGAGGGCAGGAGGGCATTTTGACACCTGCCACTGTTAAGTACCATCAAGTCAGTTCCGACTCAGAGAGAGCCTGTATAGGGTTCCTGAGGAGCATCTGGTGGCTTTGAACCACTGATCCTGTAGTTAGTAGTTCAGTGCTTATCCTACAGAGTCATACCAGAACTCAGCTAAAAGCTGGAAACAAACAAACAACAACAACAACAAAAAAAGGCAAAGAAAGGAATTCTCCCCAACAGCCTCCAGAAAAGAACGCAGCCCTGATGATAGCATGATTTTAGTCCAAAAAGAGCACACTGGACTTTTGGTTTCTAGAACTGTGTGATAATAAATTCATGTTGTTTACATTGCTAGGTCTGCGGTAATTGGGGAAAGCAGACATAGAAAACAAATGCAATTTTCAAATGAGAAATACTGGTCATTTAATCATTCAGCAAATACCCACTTCATGCATCCACTGGTGAGTGTTTAAATGAGAGACAGATGTCGAATAAATAATTATAAAATCCCAAGACAGTTGCGAGAAGAAATGCACCATGTGTTGCAGGCAAACAAAGGATGTGCCATAATCATTCTGGGGTGGCAGGTATGACTCCTGGAAGATCGCAGTTCATGAAGGCTTTGACATCAGAGAGACCTCTTGAAAGGGCAGCAAGAAAGGAGTGATCCAGGTGCAGGGAACAGCATGCACAGAAGCAACGAGGCATAAAAGACAGTGACCATGATTGGGAAAAAAAAAATTGCTGTGTCTACAAATTATCATGCATTTGGGGAAAAAATAAGAGGGACAAGCACAAAGGTAGTGAAGTCAGGCTGTGAAGGACCATTAACCACATACTAAGGAGCTTGGACTTGATGTTGTACATAGAACATCAATGTGGGGTTGTAAGCAATGAAGTAAGTACTAATTAAATTTTTATTCATATAAGTCACCCTGATTAAAGGTGGGGAGGGAGGTTGAAGATGGAGAAACTCTGAGGCAGAGACTTTAGTGCCTCCTGCATTAAACCAGGCAAGAAATTTTAAGGCCTGAACCACAGCAAAAAGAGAAAGAAATGATATATTAGAGAGAGATATAGGGAGTCACTGAATCAACATGTCTCCCAAGCCCCCTAGAAGTAGGTAATGAAGAAAGTGAGGAAAGAGTCAGGATTGAACACACAGCTCTATTTTAAAATGACAACTTGGGTACTGTTTGCTGAGAATACAGAATGAGTATTGGTTTTAGGAAAAGATTAATAGATTAGGATTCAGATTACGTTGAATCAGTTGGTGTCCTGGTGTAGCGCTGTGAGTTAATGCTCTGGACTACAAAGTTGGTTTGAACTGCAAGGTCGGTGGTTCAAGTTCACCAGCAGTTCCTTGGAAACCCTATACAGGGTTGCTACGGGTTGGAACCAACTCGACGGCATGTAACAATAGAACTTCCAGTGGTTGCTGGTTTGAAATGCGTGGGGGCTTCAAAAAAGTATGTGGAAAAATGGAATTAAAAGACAATGGAAATTTTCAAAAGGCATGGGGAGTTAAAATGCAGAAACTGGAATACATCAGCTATAAATGATTCCAGAAGCAGTGAGGAAAAGTATAAAGACATCATTTAGCATGAGCTGAACAGCACACTCTATATAAAACTTTGCTATGGTTGTTAGCTGCTATCGAATCAATTTCAATTCACAGCGATTCTATGCAACGAAGCAGAGTGGCCCCTTATGTTTCTCTAGGCTGTAATCTTTACAGGGACAGATCATCAGATCTTTCACCTGAAGAACCACTGGTTGGGTTCAAAACAAAAGCCTCTGGGATAGCAGCTAAGCACTAAGTCACTGCATAACTAGACAACTTTACATAAAATATTGTTGTTAAGTATCTTTATGTCGGTTCCAACTCATAGCGACCCTGTATAAGGTTTCCAAGGTTTTCAATCTTCCAGGGAGCTGAAAACCTCATCTTTCTCCCCCAGAGATGCTGGTGAGCTCAAATCGCAGACCCTGTGGTTCACAGTCCAGTGTTTAGTGTATAGAGTCACCATGCTCCCACATTAAAACATTCACTGCAGCTAATTATTTTATTACTCATTTCATTATTGCTATTACTTTATTATTCTTTTATTTACATTTTTTTTAACTTATTTTAATTCCAGGGTCTTTGTCTAGAATAATCTCCCCTGCTCGTCTCCTGATTCAAAACTCAGTCTTCTCCCGAGATTCACTTTACTTAAGCTGCATCCAGCACCAAACCTTCCCCAACAACTCACATATCTTCCTTCTGGGCATTCCAATGGCTTCTATCAGCTGCATATCAAATGACTATCTGGTCGTATGTTGTTGTTTTTTATCTCGAATGTAAAAATACTATTTACATTTCCTTAAGATTGCTACTGAACCTAGCACAGGGCTGAGTGTATACT